ATATGAATTGTTTAGGAAAATGGAAGTGGATGGTTGCATGGGAAATAGTTGCTCTTACAATACCATGATCCAAGGATGTCTTCACAACAACAACATATCGAGGGCAACACAAATTCTTCATGAAATGATTAAGAAAGGATTTTCTGCAAATGTATCCACAGCAGCCATGATAGTGGGTCTATCGTCTAGTGATTCAACTGGTGAATCTTTTTGTGCCCTAGTTCGGAAATTGTGAAGGCTATCAAAGTGTTAATATGGAATGACTCTTCTCAATTAACATTGCTGCAGTAAATCTAGACATGATTTATAATGTGTACCTGCTAGTAAATATTCTATTTAGTCCCTAATTCCATCCTATTACCTCAAGGAAAAAGACATTATTTTACTCCTTCATTAGGCTTTATGCTGCCTGCTGGTACTCTATTTAATTGAGGAAGAAGGCTGGTCTGGCCTTTTGCAGCCAGTAGGTACTATTTCTTTTTTTTTTTTTAACCAGGGTTGAGCTGTGTTAAATGGTTTTCCCTTCATTCTAGCTTTAATAACCTTATGTAGGTATGACATTCTTCTTTCCAGAATAATTGCAGATGCTCCTTCATTCCTCTTTATAATCATACTGCCTTGAAAGCAGTCCAGGCACCTGAAAGAAAGATAACTTCATCTTTTTATGCTTTTGATAGTTTTATATTTGCTCTTTTTGACTTCAAGTTAAAGCAGTATGGTCATGCTTAATTATAGACGTTGATTCTACGAACATGGAGTCAATAGCATAGTAAGATCATAGCCCACTCATACCTTTTCTTTTTCCCCTTTTTTCGTATGCAAATGCATGTATTCATGTATATATATTTAAAAGCTCATTTTATCGTGTTGGCTCAAGCTTGTGAGGCAATGCTATGAAACGTTTCCAAATTAAGTGCACAATTTATTTCTTGCAGGAGTCAGCCATACAAGTTTGCAAAAAAATTGGTGATAAATTTGATTCAAATTAATTATTATTGTATGAGAAGGATAATCTTTAGGTTGGTTAAAAGAATTAGATAATCATTCAAAAAAGAAGAGAAAATTATGTACTAATTCTACTAGTCTATATTTCCTTATTTTGTTTTCTGATGCCTTAATGATAGTGCTTTCAACTTGGAAGGCATAAAGGCAGAACTATTTGTCTGTAGGATGCCCTGTATTGCACTTTTTAGTTTCCTACTTGATTATGATAAGCATGTGAAGGAATTGAAATTTGAAGACCAAATAAGTAGTGGTAAGAAAACACCAATACAAATTGATGTCATCGTAGGCTAATAAACAGCATATTTAGAAATTTTGGCTTTGTCTTGGGAATCAACTGTTAAGGGAAAGGAGAAAAGATATATATATATATATATACATACATATATTTTTTTTTACCTTCGGATCAAAATTAAATTGATAACACTTACACTTAATCATTTTGATCCAAGGGTCAAAAATATGTGTAACTCTTACAAGTCTTACATTAGTGTAAGTGGATCCCTTCTCAACTCTTACATACATGCATTTCAAAATTCTTATGCGCATAAAAAAAAAAAAAAGGACATATACAGAACTCTTTGGGTTGGTCCCAAATAGTCTTCGATTAAGATACTTACAATTATAAAGTTGTGCACATGTTGTTTTCTTGCTCCTCTGATAAAATAAAAATCATCCATTCATCATTAATTGGATGTTATGATGTGGGAGATTTTGGTTTGTGCCTGTGCAATGTATAGAATTGCCAACTAAAGTATATTATAGAATTGAAATATCGATACTTAAAACGACTTTGTGCTGGTAACAGAAAGTTGCATTAAGCATATTTGGGCTACTTGCGCTGGTTTTCTACTTTCAGATTGGATGAAGCACATGCTTAGAGTATCAAGCTTTTTTGAGATCACTGTAAACCATGCAGTTTCTGTGAGAGATATTACGTTGGGAGTTGGCTCGGTATCAGGCTGAATTTCACCTTGGACTGGAAGGTTTTACTCTTTGTTTGGATCCAATCTATGTCGAGGATCACATCCCTATTATTGCATCTGTCTCTGAGCATCAGCCAAGAGCCTGATCATCTTTCATGTTTGATTTCCACATCCCACTTTCGCTTTTCCCAGCTGGTCTTTTTTTCTGCTTCAAGAAGTTATCAGATGCCACTATATTTATCGTGATATATGGTCTCGAAAGCACGTATTTAACTGGTGTCATGGGTCAATTGATTCTTATTGCTAGACCAGCAGTTTGCCTTACCAGTGCTGTTGCTGTTTCTGCCACTGTGAAGAATTTGACTGTGCTGTTGAGGTTAAAGAACAAAGAAGTCCAGACTGGATCCACTAAAGGAACTAGCAGTGCAAAGGCCTCTGCCTCTTCTAAGGTGACCCCTCTCTGGCCATTCTCTCCCCAACATGAGCAGAAAAAGGAATAAGAAATCATATTTGTTTTGAGTGCATATGAGTGGATTTCTCCGCACTAGCAATTTTGAAATTTGTTTTGTTTAACCTTAGCCGGTTTCTCCCAATATTTGCACAATAGTCAATGCATGCAGTCACCATAATCTTCTAGTATAAACTCTCCGCCCATTCCCTTTCTTCTGCCTGAACTATGTAAATTGTGTCATTGTTGTATTCTAATTTCATTTCAATGTGAAATAGGTTTTCGTGGATCGAAAACCCTCATCTGCTGCTTTCCATCTGCTCTTTTATTGTCATCCAGCTATTTGGAATAAAAGGCAGCTGTTTCCTCTGCTTTCCGGCTCACATTGTTCTTAAACTGTAAATTAAAAATGTCACATTTTTAATTTTCAAATCTAAACATTGATTTTTTTTATTTAAATTTAAAATATAAATTTATTTATGTGTTATTCTATGTGTCCATACAAGTGTTAATTAATCGCTTTTTCAAATATAAAAAGTGATAAAACTAAATCCAACATAAAGAAAAAATAATACCAAATGTTTATATATCTATGATTAAAATTATTCCAAAAAGTTGATTACATGGCCAATTAAGTTATGAAATAAATTGGTTGGGAGTGATTTTGCACGAAGAACGTTTAGGTATTTTTCTTTGTTTTATGTTTTTTTATTACGGTATTTTTTATTTTTATTTAATTTTTTTTTCTTTTTAATTTTGTTTTGTCTTTTATTTATTTATTTATTTATTTATTTGCTTATTGATTTTTTTTTATTTACATACATATTTAAAATTTTAAATTACGCACATGTTTTAATCATTTAAAAGTATAAAAAACTAAGAATATGTGTTAGAAAATTAAATTTATAATTTTATTTATTTATTAGTAACATGTAAATTTTTAAAAACATGGAAATAAATGAAAATTTTTTCAATGATGACATTAAAAGAAAATTGTAAATGGTGCTCAAAATTCTAAGTGATGAATTTCCTTACAAATTTACCAAAAGTGTTGAAAAGATTTTTGAAGTATTCTAATAAAAAATATTTTATTTATTTTTAATAAAATATTTAGTAAAAATAAAGGTTAGTAAAATCAAAAACAAAAATAAATATAAACTTTTTTTAATAAAATTTTAAATTAATCAAACGATAGATTCTCTTTGAGCAAATAAATGAGTTTCTTGAATTTTTTTGAATTAAATGAGAGAATTTTATCTGAATTCTTCCAAAACGTTTTAAATAATGAAATTTAATTAGAAGAAAAGACCATTTAGATCAAAACTTTTTAAAATAACATAAAATTAATTATGTGTGTTTTTATAAATTTTGAGTTTTTATCATTTATTATATATAATGGAATAAAATAATAATGATAAATATAAATATAAATATACAAATATATAAAAAAATAAAAATTAAGTTACATTTTTCTTTCTTCTTTTTTAATATTTTTATAAAAAAATTTATAATTTACCAAAAATTAAAAAATCATAATTTTTGATCAAACAATTAATATAAAATATAAAACTTATAACAATAACATGAAAAAATAACAAAAAAATGTAATAGTAATATATGAAATATTAATAGATTTTTAATTTAATATTGTTATAATATTTTTGTTTGTTCCATTTTTTATTATTTTTATATTAAATAATTAGTCCATTCTAATGTAGCAGGGACTAATTTTAGTAATCACCATAAAAGTAGCAATATATAGTTGCATTGGTATCATTGTAATTTTAATTTTTAGATATAAAATTACAAAATTGATGAATATTTTGTATTAATAAGATATTCCAATTTTATAATTTTTTTTAAAATTCAACAAAATTTATATTTTTTAATTTTTTATGTAAAAGTTAGATATAACAATTCTTGTACATTTGTCTATTTATTTTGTATTTAACACATGTAAAATGTGAAAATTATTTTATCATAATTTGTATCGACATACCAAATATAAAACATATATATATTTTAGTTTTGTCAAATTCATATATATCATTTTTGTTAAAATTTTAATCTGTATCAATTTCATATCTTCTTCGTATTGTTTTCCTATTGTATCAACAAGTGGCATTTAAAATTAACATATTTATTAAAAGTAGAGAAAGAGTCGATTTAAGATCTTAATTAATCATTAGCATGGCTACAGAATGCTTGACAATAACATTTATATTTGTTATTTTTATTAAAAAATATTTTGTGAAATATTTTAATTTTATTAATTTTTATTCAAAAATTAAAGAAATTAAATTTAAAAATGCAAAATTCAATAAAATTGAAATATAATGACAATTTTTTAATTGGGAAAATAGTTATTTGAATCTTATTTAAAAAGCAAACAATCATAAATTTTAATATTGATCATAGTATAATAACAAATTTCTCCTTAATCATATAACTATCCCATTTGGGAAAGTAGAACTATAAATTTATTTATTGTATTAAACATTTTTATTTTATGTAGAACAGAAGCAATGAAAGTAGGAAAGGTTGAAAAGCCTTCTTCAACGAGCCAGCACATTACAAGAGACTTATTACGAAATGAAATCAAACAGTGTGAAGAAGTAGAACAATCATGGGCTGCAAATGTATTCACTAGGGTTCTCCCTTCCATAGTTATTGAGTAGGAGACTTAATGAAATAGGAAGGTTGAGGTTAATGCCTAAAACATTAGCTCTGATGGCTGTGCAAAGGCAAAGAGCAACTTCAACATCAGCCAACCCGTGGATCAGAGTGCAGCATGGCTGGGTTGGTACGTTGCCAAGGTCAAGATTCACCAAACAACCCAGCAGATTAAGATTGTTGCGCCTGAAGCAATAATCACAACAATACAGAAGCAATAGACAACAATCAATAATCAAATGCGCAGGAAAAATAAAGCACACCAAGATTTACGTGAAAAACCCTCTAGTGTAGAGGGAAAAACCACGGGCCACCAGAAAAATCTTCACTATCAAATAATAGTTATACAAAGTTATTCTCTAGCTAAAATTAGAGCTAATCAACAACTAGAGAAACAATTGGAGAAATCTCACCAAATAAGTGACTCAACAAATACACCCTGGATTTGTTCCTAGAGAGCTTCAAACCCGATCTTCACCGTTCAGAATGTATAACTCTGAATCATAAACCTCCTGACAATGTTCCAACTCAATCGGACCACGGATCGACTTCCGTTTAACCAACTCTCCCTTCTCCTTTTTCTCTCTCTGCTTTTCCTGGCTTTTCTTCTTTCTCTGCTTGGTTGTCGACACACACCTTAAACAACCCCACATTTTTTTTATTAAGTAGCTAGGGCTCTGTGTAAAATAAAAGATCAAGACCCATGGCCTTTACTTGGTCCAAAACCACTTACATGGGACTGGACCCCATTTTCCTAACAATCTCCCCCTCCAGTCCCATTAGAAGGAGATTCATCACCATAGCAATTTCATTTGGAACTTACCTTGGCCAGGGAACTCATTCCGGCCAAGTTACTGTAAAGCTCAAGCTTTTCCCTGGGAAGTATCTTAGTCAACATATCTGCCATATTTTTATCAGTATGGACTTTCTTCAATAGCATCTGCTGTTCTTCAATCACTGAACGTAACCAATGATATCTAACATCAATGTGCTTTGTTCTAGCATGGTACATGATATTCTTACTCAAATGTAAAGCACTCTGGCTATCACAAAATACCACATACTCTTTCTGATTCAACCCCAATTCAAAAAGAAAACGTTTCATTCAAAGCATTTCTTTACATGCTTCAGTTGCTGCAATATACTCAGCTTCTGTAGTTGACAAAGCAACACACTTCTGCAACTTAGACTGCCAAGATACAGCTCCTCCTGCAAAAGTGAACAAATACCCTGAAGTAGATTTCCTACCATCAAGATCGCCTGCCATGTCAGCATCAGTAAACCCTTCTAGAATTGGTTGTGAAACTCCATAAGTCAAACACATTTTTGAGGTACCCCTCAAATATCTAAAAATCCATTTTACTGCTTCCCAATGAACCTTCCCTGGATTAGAAAGAAATCTGCTCACTACACCAACTGCATGAGCAATGTCAGGCCTTGTACAAACCATAAGATACATTAAAGAACTGACTGCAGAAGAATAAGGAATACTAGACATAGCTAGTTGCTCTTCCTTAGACACTGGACAAGATTTCTTACTTAGATGAAAATGGTTGGCAAGTGAACTGCTAACTGATTTAGCATGTTGCATGTTGAATCTACCAAGCACTCGTTCAACATACTTTTCCTGTGACAACCACAGCTTTCCAGCTCTCCTATCTCGGATAATGTCCATACCAAGAATCTGTTTTGCTAGACCTAAATCCTTCATATCAAAGGACTTAGACAATTGTTCTTTCAACCTGCAAACCATACTAGCATCTTGTCCTACAATCAACATATCATCAACATATAATAATAGGATAATGAAGTTACCATTAGGGAATTGTTTAATATACACACAAGAATCCGCTGCTGTTCTTTTATAGCTATGACTCACCATAAAAGAATCAAACTTTTTGTACCACTGTCGCGGAGCTTGTTTCAAGCCATACAAGCTTTTCTTCAATTTGCAAACTAAGTGCTCTTTCCCTTTCACTTCAAAACCCTCAGGCTGATTCATATAAATGTCCTCCTGCAAATCACCATGCAAAAATGCAGTTTTAACATCAAGTTGCTCAAGCTCAAGATTCAAACTAGCTGCCAATCCCAGTACCATTCGAATAGAACTCATTTTTACAACTGGAGCAAAAATCTCATCAAAATCGATGCCTGGTTTCTGAGAAAAACCTTTTACTACCAATCGAGCTTTGTACCTCACTAGTTTGTCACCATCCTTTTTTAACTTGAACACCTATTTATTCTTTAATGGCCTTTTTCCTGTTGGAAGTTTAACAAGATCATAAGTACCATTCTTTCGCAATGACTCCATCTCTTCTTTCATTGCTTTTAACCAGTGCTCTCTATCCGGAGTAACATGCACATCTTGAAAGCTTTCTGGCTCCCCTTCACTGGTAACTAAAATAAAATCTGAACTTGGATACCTGGTAGATGGCCTGCGCTCTCTAGTAGATCTCCTGAGCTGAGACTCTACATCACTTGATGCTGAAGGTAGCTCCCCCTGCTCAACACTCTCAGGTAGAGAGGATTGCTCCCCCTGCTCAAAACTAATAGCATCTGGCTCATCACCAACTGTAGCTGGCTCATCCATATCCCCAAGTTCTGTTTCTGGCTCATTTTCACCATCTGTGGCTCTTTCCTGTGAAATCCCTGTCGGTGTTGAAACATCACACTCAACAGTAACTCGTGTAGTCTTCTCATTTTTCTCAAGGTCTGCTATGGTTTCTTTTTCATGAAAGACCACATCTCTGCTTCTGACTGTCTTTCTCTTTACTGGATCCCATACCTTGTAGCCAAATTCCTCATCACCATATCCTACAAACACACACTGTGTAGCTTTACTATCAAGCTTTGACCTCTGCTCTTTTGGTACATGCATGAATGCTTTACACCCAAAAACTTTCAAGTGAGAGTATGAAGCATCTTTCCCTGTCCACACTCTTTCTGGAATGTCAAAGCCCAAAGGAACTGATGGTGACCTGTTAAGTAAATAACAAGCTGTGTTGACTGCTTCACCCCAGAATGGCTTTGATAATTTTGCCATCCTCAACATACATCTGACTTTTTCCACAATGGTGCGATTCATTCTTTCAGCTATACCATTATGCTGCGGTGTTCCAGGTTCTGTCCTCTCATGCCTGATCCCATGCTTTGAGCAATACTCTTCAAAGCCTTTAGATGTGTATTCCCCACCATTATCAGTTCGAATACACTTCAAGGGTAACCCTGTCATCCTTTCAACCATGGCATGAAATTTTTGAAAATACTGCAGTACCTGACTTTTATATTTCAACATATACACCCAAGTCTTACGTGAAGCATCATCAATAAAAGTAACAAAATATCTGTTACCACCTAATGACTCAACCTCAATGGGACCACATACGTCAGAATAAATTAATTCCAATCTATTTTCTTTTCTCTGAGAACTTTTACGAAAAAAAACTCTATGATGCTTACCAAACAAACAATAATCACATGAATCGAGAAACATACCTTTGGTCAAGGGAATGAGAGAGTGCCTTGCCAAAACCTGTAACCCTTTTTCACTCATGTGTGCCAGCCTCCATGTGCCACAAGTTTGCTGAAGCATCATTTTCAACGGTATTTACCTGGTTACCGTTCAATTGCATCCATGTCTTATACATTGTGCAGCATAGTTTTCCCCTTGCAACTACCATAGATCTTTGAAGAAGCTTCACTGTCCATTCTTTTGTCGGCTTTCATATCCTCCTTATCAAGGACATTAATAGCAAGCAAGTTTCATTCTCATATCTAGAATGTGTCTGACATCCTTAAAGTCAACATGCAGCATGTACTAGTTTGTACACCAATATCACCATCCAACAATCTGACGACACACTCTTGTTTCCCATCTTGGTACAAACCAAAGTCTCCTGCTTTGTAAGTTGTAAACAACTCCTCTTAGGAACACAATGATATGCCGCTCCTGTGTCAACTATCCACTCAATGCCGGGATCACTAACATGATTACAATCACCATGTGTACAAATCAAAGTAACTGAATCACTATCTGAATTTACTGCTGCAACATTGCCATCATCTGAACTCTTGCCTTTCTCATCTTTTCGCTCTTGCTTCAAGATTCTACAGTTTCGTTTTATATGACCAGCCTTACCACAATGGAAACACTTCACTTTACCTCTAGACTTAGATCTATGTTTAGACTTACAAGTTGCAATCTTTTTAACAAGTATAACTTTATTCATACCTGTTTTTCTCTCATACAATGCTGCCAATTTTTCTCAAACAATGTGAGCATCTGACTCCTGCGCTACATGATGAAACACGCTGATATCAACCCATTTTCTGATTGTAGCCAGCGTCTTTCTACCTAGCTTCTTCCAGCTTTCATCTTTCATATCTGCTGGTTTAGCCGAATCACCCAATACTGGCTCATACAAATCTTTGCAGTATAGATGATCCTCCATCATAGGCTTCCAAATTGAATAATTTGATGCTGTCAATTTTAGCATGGAACCTGTATCACCCTCCATGATCTCAAACAGAATTTACTTCTATCCTGGGTTGCTTCTGTATCGATGTCTCAAAATAACTCTCGCTCTGATACCACTTGTTGCGCCTGAAGCAATAATCACAACAATACAGAAGCAATAGACAACAATCAATAATCAAATGCGCAGGAAAAATAAAGCACACCAAGATTTACGTGGAAAACCCTCCAGTGTAGAGGGAAAAACCACGGGCCACCAGAAAAATCTTCACTATCAAATAATAGTTATACAAAGTTCTTCTCTAGCTAAAACTAGAGCTAATCAATAACTAGAGAAACAATTGGAGAAATCTCACCAAATAAATGACTCAACAAATACACCCTGGATTTGTTCCTAGAGAGCTTCAAACCCGATCTTCACCGTTCAGAATGTATAACTCTGAATCATAAACCTCCTGACAAGGTTCCAACTCAATCGGACCACGGATCGACTTCCGTTTAACCAACTCTCCCTTCTCCTTTTTCTCTCTCTGCTTTTCCTGGCTTTTCTTCTTTCTCTGCTTGGTTGTCGACACACACCTTAAACAACCCCACATTTTTTTTATTAAGTAGCTAGGGCTCTGTGTAAAATAAAAGATCAAGGCCCATGGCCTTTACTTGGTCCAAAACCACTTACATGGGACTGGACCCCATTTTCCTAACAATTAAGACAGACACCAAGGTTCAAGGGATTACAGGTACCGTATTGGCCCTGAGGAAACCTGTCTCCAGGACGGATAACAACAGGGTTCCTGGAATTTGTTGTTGTATAAGAACCCTGGGAATTTCCATTATTGGAGTTTCCTCCGACTCCATTTGAGGAATCATTATCGTAGGGGTCATCGGAAGAACTTACTGTTGCAAAGAAGAGAAGGTTGAAGGAGAGAAATAAAGCAGTTGATGCTTTAATCTTTGAAGCCATTTCTCAAACCAAAATCTTAAGAAAACTAGAAAGTGCATAATATGATTATGATGGTGAAGGTGGTGAAGTGAGCAAAGGGTTTTATACAAGAGAGATGTGAATTTTAAAAATCCTTAAAATCAGAAAATGAGAGGCACGCAAGGTGAATTTACTCGATTTAATAAATCCCATAAGTAAATCGGTGTTATAAGTATATATCTATATTAAAAAAATTTAAAATTTAATTCAATTAATTCAGTTAATTATTATTAAAAAATAAAGTATGAAGGCATTTATAATTATTTCTCCTGTCCTCAAGTTCCTATATATATATATAAAAAAAAAAATGCGACCAAGCCGAATTAAGGTTTCTATTCTGTCATACACGTGAAATCATATCTTCATGCCCGATGTAAGGGTGAGCAATGACTGCCGAGAGTGAAACTTGATTTTAACCCCTTGTATTGCACTTCTATTGGATTGAGAATGAAGATTATGACCATAACCGCAAGCACTCGAACAATTATATTAGAAATACTTTTTCTTGTGCCAGGGAAAGGTTTGATGTACTCGAATTTAAATTTTAATCATTATATAAATTAATTGAATTAAATTTTTAATTTAAATTTTGTAATTAGAAATCTTTCTCTCTTGAATAAATTATCATACAAATTTTAAGCTTATTTTTTTATTGATGCTTTTATTATTTTTTATTTTTTAATAAAAATAAATAGCAATTAAAAAAAAAAAAAACAAATCACACAGAAATTAAACCTTCCAGTGCTCTCTTTCAAAAACACACCCTTTGGTACGATTCTAAATAAAACAAGTAATGGGTTCATTTTCATATTTGCTTTGCAATTTTATTTCATTAAATAAATATCTAGATTTATCTCTATATCGATGACAGCTTAGGAAACAATTCAAATAAATTTGCAAGGGGGTTTGTTGAACAAATTTTTTTGATTTTATCAACAATGATTAGACAATTTGATTTATTAGAGATTGGAAAATTTTAACCAAGATATATTTTGTTATTGTGTGTAATTTATATTACGAAACATGTTCCAAATTAATATTAAAGGATACCAATTTATTTCGATCAATCAACTCATTGTATTCTAAAAAAATGTAGTGTTTTTTCACATTCCATAATTCCATTCAGATAATTAAAGCTTATGTTAAAAATAATTATTGCTTCAAGCCTTACGTTTTTTATCATAACTAATAATTATTTCTGAATTTAATTAAAATTTATTTTAATTAAGCTTAATATGTATGAATAGATTTTCAATTAAAGGAAATGTTAGGCGTAAAAAAAATTGAAAAAATAAAAAATTAATTTAAAATCATAATATTCAATTTGTTTTGGATCTTTTTTTTTTTTTTTTGCTTAGATTGGTTTAAGTTTAAATATTAAATATATATTAGGTTTAAATGAAAAGCAAAAATTAAAAAAGAACCTAACAGAATTATATATTTTTATTATATTTTATATTTTTTAAATTTTTATAAAATAAAAATAATTATTTTATATTTAAATTTATTTAAAAATATTAAAAATTATATTAAAATAATATATAAAAAATTTAAAAAATTAAATTTAAAAAATCAATGAACTCAACTGGTAGAATTTAGTTTAGCTCAAATTGATTTTAAAATAAGATCGATTTAAATTCAAATCAGATTTTAGATGAAATAATTTCTCATATAGTAATACAAAATTTCTTTCCAATATAAAATTTCTCTTTAGGCATCACCTAATAGAAGTACCAATGGTTCAGATCAAATTTGATTCAATTTTTTAAAATATTATATCGTATTGTAAATTTTAAATTCCACAAGTAAGATTAATATAATAACACATATATATTTAAAAAAATTAATTAAAAAAAATGTTAATTTCTTGATTCACTTGTAAAATTAAAAATTACACTGATTGTGTATGATTTTTTTTATTGATGAAAAAAATATTAAATGAAAATCATTTCTTAAAAAAGTAATTAATTAACCTTAACAAGTGTCTATTTATTACAAAAAAGAAAGGTATATTCTTATTATAAAATAACAGGTAATTAAAGAAAATTACAAGGGATGGAAGGGGAGGTTGAAGAGCCCTCCCTGACGAACCAGCAATGATACAAAGACTTATTACAAAATGAAATCAGCTGGGAACCCCAACAAACAATCAATGTCAATGTCAATGTCAAAGACAAAATAATAAAAGAAAGAGAGTTCAAACATTGATGAAGAACAATATTTATGGGCTGCAAATGTATTCAGAAGAGAGCCTCCTTCCACAGTTATTGAGTAGAAGGCTCAATGAAATAGGAAGGTTTAGGTTAATGCCTAAGACATTAGTTCTGATGGCAGTGCAGAGGCAAACAGCAGCTTCAACATCAGCCAACCCTTGGATCAGGCTGCAGCATGGTTGGGTTGGTATGTTACCAAGGTCAAGATTCTCCAAACCACCCAGTAGATTAGCACACACATGAAGGTTCAGGGGATTACAACTACCGGACTGGCCCTGATTGTTATTGCCATTGCCATTAGGGAACAAGGCACCAGGAGGAAGGTTAACAACAGGGTTCCTGTCCATGGAATTTGTAGAAGAAGAACCCTTTGAGTTTTTTAATGGTTAATCAACATTATCAGAGCTTACAAAAGCGAAGAGGAGAATGTTGAAGGAGACAAATAGAGCAGTTGATGACTTAGCCTCGGAAGCCATTTCTCAGAAGAAAAATTATTTGAAATGCTTCAGAAATTGGAGTATTCTTTTGTTCAGAGAAAGCTAAAAATTGCTTATTGACGTTGATGATGAAGGTGGTGAGGTGGGCGAAGGGATTTTACAGAAGAGAGATGAGCTTTAAAACTAGAAAATGAAAGCCACTAGGTCACATTGATTGGAGGATTTCGATCCTGGAATATTATTGTCTGGTCGCCAATTATGGAATCTCCCACGTCTACGATGATAATTGATATCCAAAGCCAATATTTAATTAACATGAGCACAACGTTGTTATAACTTATAGACATCGAGTATCAACTTCGCAGATATGCAATCTAACCTTTTTCTTTAAAAAAAAAAAAAAAATCTATTCTTAATCTCTCAAGTCTTATTTATTTAATTCATATTAAAAAGAAAGTATACATCTGAATTTTTTTCGAACCCACAATTTCAAAAAATCTAATTAACATACAAATATAGCATATATATTTTAAAACATTAGGTAAATTTATCTACGATGTCAAATAATGCTTTTTACACCAATTTTATTATTTTTCAGTTTACAAACTTGTTATGATAAAGAGCAATCTATTTTATAACATCAAATAACATGAAAATATCACATAATATCTTATAATTATCGGTAAAGACTAAAGATTAGATGATAAAAATATTTTTAATCAAATTTTAGTGATTAAATTAAAATTTTTAATAACTTAATAATTATTTTAAAAATACAATAATATTTGAGTAATTAATAATGTAATTTACCCATTAATTTTACAGTTGAAATTTACGTGCCGTACATGTAGATTTTTTTCATATTCTAATAACATATTAACTAAATCTGGACAAGCATATATTAATATCATATTTAAGCTCGATTCGGATTCGAACCTCCAATACTAACATATTGATGGATTTAAAATGAATTAAAAAGATTATAGATGAAGAAAAATGGATTTTTTAAGTCATGAATAAAGATGGAATAGTATGTATGTTACCTACTATCCCCATGAAAACGTGATGTGCTTGATTTCAGCACATATATCATGAGCTTTTATATATGGTATTATATGTGCTTTTTTAATTTTTTCCAATGAACCATTCATTAAACAAAATGTTAATTGAGATATTTAATAAAATAAGAAAATCTTAACAACTCAATGTGAAAAGGGATACGAATTTATGAAATCTGCAAAAATGGGTATTTGAAATTTGACAAAACAAAACAAAAAGGTTCTGGAAAACCTAATAGCCCTAAACATTGTCACCAACTCAGTCTCGAGAAAATATGATTTGTTGTTACAGCTTAAACTCTATGATTCCAAGACCCAAAGCAAAATTCCAACTACCGAGTCCGATTCAAGATCCACCACGAGTTGGAAGCAGAAACTCTTACCATCTATTATTTGGTGGTTTAACTTTATAAATACGAACTATCCAGTTAGATGTTGTGAATGCCTCTTCCAAGTGCTCCAGTTTAATGTCTTTATTTCCAATTTCAACACCTCGTGCACGATCATAACTGCCAAACCAGAAAGCAATTATAGAAATTTAGCAATATAGATATAAACTATCTTTTTCATATATAAAATATATAGATGTACACACACATCTGAATATGTAGCTAAGCACATATTATTGTACCAACATCTTGAAAAAACAAAGAAGACAAGAATGCCAACTTACCCAGGTGGCTTGCCATATTCTGTCATCAGCTCTCCAAACCGATAGTAAGATAGCTTGTACCTAAGCACATAAATATAAATATATATTAAGCAAAGATTTTTCCAGCACCAAAACTCTCTAGGAAGTCTCAAAGAATGAATACATATATATATATATATATAATACGAGAGAGAGAGAGAGAGAGAGAGAGAGAGAGAGAGAGAGAGAGAGAGAGAGAGAGAGAGAGAGAGAGAGAGAGTAACTTCGAACTTACATGAGGCAATTCAACATTTTAGTAGCTGCCCCTTTGTCAACTCGATATTCACCATTAACAAGGTAATCAGGTTCCTTGATTACAGGGAACACTCCACCTCCAATTCTCACCATCCACAAAAATCTATTTCAGAATAAAATGTAATTAGAATACAATAATGGCACTTGAAAAATTCAGGAAAGAAGAAAAGGGGAAGGTGGGAGACCAAAAACAAAAGATTATGGTGACTGTGTTGCGTTGGTATAGACTATAGACTATTGTCCAAATATTGGCAGAAAACCACTCAGTAAAATTGTCTTGACAAATGGCCATCGAAAAGAGATTTCAAAATGCTAAATGGTAGGAAACCACTTCTATACACTCAAAGCAGATATGATTCTTATTCCTTTTCATCTTCTTTCTCTGCCCATGTTGGGGAGGAGGGGCTGGGGATTACATGTAGAAGTCAGGAAGGGAAAGTAGTGAAGTGTCAAGAATGATTAATTACATCCACCAATCAAAGGAGAAAAGCATTAGTTTTCATAATTTAAAGTAAAGAACTGATAATTTTAACCACTCAGAGGTAGATTTTCATACAATCTCTCATGCTTTGCACCACATACATACACACGGTGACTGAGACATAGAGACAGAGAGAGTGAGAAAGATCCAACCTTGCTTTTCAGACTCTAAAGTACATAACAGTGTTAACCACTCAATCAGACTGCACCACCAATCCAACTATCCAAGTATGAACAGCATGAGTTTCATGATTTAAAGCAAAGAATCAAAACCAATTAAACATTCAGGGCATCTTTCACACAATGCCTGATTTGTTGCATAGAGACACACAACAATAATTAATAAAATAGGAGAGTGATTTCCAGTCTTACTTGTTAATATCATCAGAAGAATAACCAGTAACACCTCCAAAGACAACTAATACGTAATCCACATCAAGTGATCTCATTATCTCATATGCCTCGTCTTCATAAGATGACATTGCACGCCCAACCGTAGCAATATGCGTATTATTCCAAGTGTTGTTGTCAACAATAACAGTTCTGTTTCCCATGGCAGTGATTTGATACCCATAGTCCCACCAAGACATCACCTTAGCATCTGGAGGAGTATTTTGCCGAAGCCAGAAGTATGCCTCACGATAATCATCAAAGATAACTCTATTTCCATGGGCACCTCTTGCAGCCAGAACAATTGAAGGAGATGAGTAAGCCTCTGAAGTAACCCATGTACAGTGGGTGGCATACTTACTGAGCAAGTAAAATGCACCAAAGAGCAATGCCACTGCACCATTTTTCTGGAAAGGCTGGGACTGATCAAGTGAAGCCTATTTGTAAAATAAACAAGATAGGTTATTTCTTGGATATACACCCCAAACAAACCAAAAAGAAGCCCAATATTATGGCCAGAAACAAAAACTATTAAAATACCCGCAATGTCTACTCCTAGATCATTTGATTTAAGAATTTCATTATATACATAATAAGGGCCCGTGGCACACGACACTTCTATGTTTACATTTTAGCATGCTTTCTCTTCCAACAAATCCATGCTATCAAAATGGATCTATGGAGGTTATGGATGAAATTAAGCATGATAACAAATTAAACACAAGTAACAACACGAAATCCTGTGGTCACAGGAAATATAAGAACAACATAAGTTTTATCCTATATGAAACCTTTAGATCAACAGAGTTGACACTTGAATTTTCAATTTGCTTCTAACTTAGAAGGGAAACATACATAAGGACAAAGAAAATATTATAATAAACAGAATAACTAACTTGTGATGGAAGAAAAGAAACACACCTATGTCTAGAAAACATATTATCATCAAACAATGAATCTAAATAATTCAATTAACTCAGAAACTTATTAGAGAGAATATTATTTTAAATGTGGTTTATTAAAAGCTTGAGTTCTCTACAACATTGATCCATGAAACCATATAAACAAAGACCATTAAAGCATGCATCAGATGCGAGCTCAGTCATTGCCAAATAATTATACACAAAAACTACAAAACCTTTTAATTAATTACTAACAGTGACACATTCAATCCCCAAAAAATGTATGTTAACTAAAACAGAAGGAAATACTTGCTTGTCAGAATTTATATTCCTTTCCCCATAATACAGCAAGATCCAGAGAAGGGTAGGTAAACTACTGGCAGGATTTTCCTCTTGAAGGTATTTAGGAATTTCGAGCAACTACATATTTCCCCCAAAACTCAGGATTTAGAACTAATAAGTGCTACTTTGGCTGGATTAACTGTAACTTCAAATTTACAACTCAAATCCGTAATCAGGTGGACTATCTAGTTCTATAACATATCTTATTTTAGCTTAACCCCTGTTTATAATTTAAACCAAGAAGGTCAAATTCCAATTACTGCTAATTCTTTCAGTTTGCAGTAATAGATGGAAAGAGATCCCACAAACAGCTTAATGGAATTAGTAGGCCTTATATCACTACCTAGAAGCTTCTTCATCAAGTTATTTCATTTCACACTTGACCTGAATGAAAGAACTCCCAAAGAAAAGCTCGTTATATGTCCAAGATAACCAAATAATGGTACTGAATATGCCATAGCCAAACAGAATAACTAGATAATTCAACCGATAATCTCTAGAATCATAATTTGTTATCATCAATGCATTACAATGCTATCTAGCGATAAGGAGTATTAACAATAGAACCAAACAAAAACTGGAAGATTTAGCTCCTTAATAGTTAGCAAAATAAGTGCATCCAAACAAATTCTTATTACTACAAGTTTCAATGTTCAGATTTTTTTTCTTTGGCAAAGGACCACAAGCATTGTTATTTCAGTTGCATCAGCTCAATTCTCAAGAAACAGCAAGTACATTCACATCAAACAAATTTTTTACCAACAGTAAAACTAAAGCAATATTCATTCTGCGGGCAAAACATGAGTCAGACAATCAAAATATCAGAGGAAAGGGAAAGAAAAGAGAGAAAATGGCAGGGAGGGGTTACCTTAGAAGAGGCCTTTGCACTGCTAGTTCCTTTAGTGGAACCAGTCTGGACAA